GGGGAGGGGCGGGGGGGAGAAGGAGAGGGAGGGGCTGGGGGCCAGTGGGGAGGTGCCTCCGCCGGCCAGCCCCACCCCTGATGGGGGTTGTGGGAAGCTGGGGGAGGGGAGACTTGGGCCCTTTGTTCTGGCTCTCCTGATGGCAGGGCGCCCCTACCCTCCAGCCTGGGGTTCTGTGGGTGCCCCTGCCCCCCACCTTGGGGTTCTGTGAGTTTTTCCTGTCTTGGGCTCAGTTTCTGCCCTGAGTCTTCGTTCCCTTTTCTCAAGGTTTCTCTCTCCCTTTCTGGGTCTGTGTACTCCTGTCTCTCTGGGTCTCTGTCCCTCTCTCTCTAGATCTCCCCTCAGCTTTACTTGGGCCTTTCCCCTCCTCCTTCTTTCCTGGCAGCTGCTGCTTACATCCCAGCCACCTGCTCTTGGGGTGGGACTGAGAAGCTTTTACCCACACCCTCCTTCCCTGCAACTAGCCCCTGACTCCTGTATTAAAACCAGTGATCCATACCCAAAGTTTCAGCCCTCATGAGCCCTAGGTATTACTCTGGGATATTCAAGACTTTATCACAATCCAAGTTCCTCTGGAAAATCAGAGAACACTCCCATCCTAAGCTTCCCCAGAAACCCAGCCCCTTTCTCCTCCAGCCTTCCTGCTTTCCTCAGACCCAGGAGTTAAGCCTTCTAACACCCTCCTCCCTCAGACCCAGGAATCCAGGCCCTCAGACCCAGGAGTCCAGGCCCCCATCCCCTCCTCCCTCAGAACCAGGACTTGGGACTCCCAGCTGTCATAGCTTTGAGTCCCTGTGGGTTGGTTGGGGGAAGGGTGCTGATCTCTGTGTTCCTTCAGGCCCAGATGGGGGAACCCCGGGCTGGGGCCCCCCTGGATGATGGCAGCGGCTGGACAGGCAGTGAGGAAGGCAGTGAGGAGGGCACTGGAGGCAGTGAGGGGGCTGGGGGAGATGGTGGCCCAGATGCAGAGGGTGTCTGGAGCCCAGACATTGAGCAGAGCTTTCAGGAGGCCTTGGCCATCTACCCACCCTGTGGCCGCCGGAAAATCATCCTGTCTGATGAAGGCAAGATGTATGGTGAGTCCATCCCTGTCTTTTGCCCTATCCCCCCACTGATGGCAATAATGATAATAACAATTTATGGAGCTCTGAGTGCAGTTCCCACGAAAATACATTGTATCCTCACAATGACTCTGAGGTAGGAGCTAGCAGCACCATTCGTACCAATGAGGAAACTGAGGCACATAAAGGTTAAGTGATTTGCCTAAAGTCATAGAGTTAGTGTGTGATGGAGCTGGGATTTTAACCCAGGCAGTCTGGCTCCCATTTAGCTGAGGAGACCCATAGCACAGCTTGCTGAAGCCCTTTGGGGATTATTGCTGCTCTCTTCTTCCCTGGTATCCTCTCTGTTGGGAAGTTCTGCTGAATGTCTAACTCTGTTCCATCTTTGACTCTTCAGGTCGGAATGAACTGATTGCCCGCTACATCAAGCTGAGAACGGGGAAGACCCGAACTCGCAAACAGGTCTCAGGACTGACTTGTGGGCTTCCGTCTCGGATGGGCTTGTCTTCTTAAGGCCATCCTCTCTCTGTTGGGAAGTTCTGCTGAATGTCTAACTCTGTTCCATCTTTGACTCTTCAGGTCGGAATGAACTGATTGCCCGCTACATCAATCTGTTGGGAAGTTCTGCTGAACGTCTAACTCTGTTCCATCTTTGACTCTTCAGGTCGGAATGAACTGATTGCCCGCTACATCAAGCTGAGAACGGGGAAGACCCGAACTCGCAAACAGGTCTCAGGACTGACTTGTGGGCTTCCGTCTCGGATGGGCTTGTCTTCTTAAGGCCATCCTAGTATGGGCAGGCTCAGGTTCAAGGAGGACCTGGTTCACGTGCTTTTGTCTGTCTTCTTGGCATGTCTGTTAGTAGATTCTAACTATGCCTATTTTGGGATAGAACCAGGGAGTCAGAGACCAAAAGAGCCAAAAAGGGAAGGATGGGAAAGAGGAAGGAGGCCTGGCTTTACTGGGTATGGGGAAGATCAGTGATGTTAGTGAGTTCCTGGGAAGAATGGCCTTTATGGACACCTCTGTGTTCGGATGCTCCTGAGATGGTTAGCATATTCTGTGTGTTTGTCATCTTTCATGTTCTAGCAGCTCCATGGGGCACCTGGAGGGAGGGAAGGGATAGAGGACACAAGGGGAGGGCGGCTGTGGCCTGAATCTGCTTTTTCATTGCTTCCTCCAGGTCTCTAGTCACATCCAGGTTTTAGCTCGAAGGAAATCGAGGGAAATCCAGTCCAAGTTGAAGGTAGGGACCACGACAGACACCCTGAGAAGGGGACTGAAACCCAGAGAGAGGGGGACCAGGGGTTGGGGACCTCTGTAGATGGAGCAGGGGTGGGGGTGTTGTATCCAGACACCCAAGGTCAGTGACCCAGCAAGGGGGGTGCATAAAGACCCATAGGAAGGGGGGTGACTGAGATCCTGGATAGGGAGAGGTCTATACAGAGAGAGATGGAGATTTAACTTAGGACAGGTGAGAAGGATGGGCCACCAAGCCTCTCCCTCGGCTACTGTTGTCATCTCCCTAAGATGGAGATTTAGGACAGGTGAGAAGGATGGGCCACCAAGCCTCTCCCTCGGCTACTGTTGTCATCTCCCTCCTGTCCCCCCTTTTGCTTTTCCTGATGGTCTCATTTAATTTTCCCTCTTGTTCTATGAGGATTCCCTCTTCGTCTCTTCTGGTGCATCTTCCCATTTCCCAGCACCCATGTGGCCCATCTGCTCTTTTTGGGCCCAGAAGTCTTCATTTCCTGCCAGAGATTTTCACATCCATTTTCTTTTCTTCTTCCTCTGGGTTTCCTCTTCCCTCTTGGCCTGAGACCCTTATTTTCTGCCCTACTGCGTGTGAAGTCTTTTCTACCTCTTCTTTTGGACTTGGGGACAGTTACTCCCTGTTCCTTTGTGTACCTGGAAGCCTTCTCTTCCTTTCTCTCTAGGTCTAAAAAGCACTTCCAGCATTTTCTGGATCTTCTCTGTTCCCTCTCTGTCCTGTCTGGACTAAGAAATGTTCACCTCCTAGTCCCTCTGGCTCTGAAATTCTCATTTCCTGCAGCCTGGGCATCTGGAAACCTCCTCTTCCTGCTCTTTCTTGACCTAGAAACCCTCATTACTGCCTTTTATTCTGGGCATGGAAACCCCTTTTCCTCTCTAGGGCTGGCCACCTTTACGTCCTGTTCCATATTCATCCCTTGCTCCCCCTTAGCCCCATTGCTCAGCTCGGGGTGGCTGGGCTGTGTGGGCTGGTAGGGCAGGGAGGTGGTGGGGGAGTCCAGGCCTCACTTCCTAAGTCGTGTTTTCTTTCCTTCTTTGGCACGCTCGCCACGCCCTTGTGCAGGCCTTGAATGTGGTAAGCCCCTCTGCCTGTCCTCCCACCCACTCTTACCCAGACAACTGCCCCATCCCTGAGGAGGTCAGGAGGGCCAGAGGGCTATAGTGAGAAGGAGTTCAACCATCCCCAACCCTTTACATTGACTCCCCAACTCACATCTCCCCATCCTTGCCCAGCCCTATCATTTTCCCACTTTTGCTGTAATGACTGGGACTCCCCATTGACATGGACCTCCAACTTTTCCTCCAGGATCAGGTTTCTAAGGACAAGGCTTTCCAGACGATGGCTACCATGTCCTCGGCCCAGCTCATCTCGGCACCTTCCTTGCAGGCCAAACTGGGTCCTGCTGGTCCTCAGGTGGCCTTGGGTTGAGGATTGTGGGGTTTGGGGGTGGAGGGATGGGGCTGCAGTTGCCAAGAGGGAACTGACTGACCCCCCTGCTTTGTCTCTTTTCTAGGCCTCTGAGCTTTTCCAGTTTTGGTCAGGGGGCTCTGGGCCCCCCTGGAATGTTCCAGAGTGAGTACTTTGTATCCTGGCTCAGCACCTGCCAACCACCCCCATGTTCCCACACAGACCTTTCTCAACCTACCTTCTAGCTCCCAACTCCCTTTTGAACAGATTCTGGAGCCAGGCTATGTGGATTTGAATTCTATCTCTGCCCTTTGCTGGTTATGGGCCTTTGGGTAGGTGACTTCAACACTCAGAGCCTCAGTTTCCTCATCTCTAAAATGGGGATAATAATAGTACCTTCCTCACAGTGTTGTTGGAATAAATGAGTTTAACACATGTACAATGATTAGGATAAGACCTGGCAATGATTCCTGATAAGTGCCCAGGAATAGTTCTGAGCTGGGATAGTGAGGAAGGGACAGGGCAGTGTCAGGAATAGGAGGGACAGGGCTAGGGCCTGCTGGGCTGAGAAGGAGGGAGGAGGCAAGGACAATACCTGGGGTCTGGTTGGTGGCTGTAGTTGGTGCGATCCCCAGGGGAGGAATGAGTTTGAGGGTGAAATGAGCTCAGCATGGGACTTGATAAGTAGGAAAGGCCTGGATGATGTCCATAGGGATAATGGCCTCCCGGTGGGGTTGTATGGGCCCCAGAGGCTCATGGGAAAGGCAGTTATAGGTCCAGAATGTCAGGAACCTCTATAGGTCCAAAGGCTCCTGGGAGGGATGAGTGGAGTCCCAGAGGCTCATGGAAAGGCTCATTCTCATCGCATTGAGGTGGTTCTCAGGCATGAGGGTACAGCAGGGGTTATTATCTTTTCTCAGACTCAGAAGGAAGAAAATGGATCCCAGAGGCTCATGGCAATATCTTTTTCAGCTCTGAGAGAGCACTGAAGGGTGACAGGATGTGTTTCTAGCCTAGAAGAATGGAAGTGAGCCCTAGAGGCTCATAGGGAGTGCATTTTTCAGCCCAGAGAGGAGCAAATGGATCCAGGCTGGGCATGGGTAGAGTAGTGCGGCCACAGGGTGAGGCAGGAGTATTGAGGGTGTTGCCAGAGAAAGTGAAGTGACAGGCTGTGAGATCCAGACTCAGAGAGAAGAAAGTTCACTGGGAGCTGCTAGATGGGGACACAGGAAAGCATCAGAACAAGTCCCAGGGTCTGAAGGAACTGCAGGTTCGCAGGGGAGAGGTTGGAGCTGGAAGGAGGGGCAGTTTGGCAAGAACTGCACCAAGTTCTGGGGTCCCTGCTTTAATGGAGTTTCTAGTCAATTGGGGGAGACAAATGTTAATTAAAACATCACCTGCGGGCCGGCCCGGTGGCACACTGGATAGTGCGCCGCTTGGGAAGCGCGGCAGCGCTCCCACCCGAGGGTTCGGATCCCACATACAGACTGGTTCCTGCTCACTGGCTGAGCGAGGCGCGGGAGCAACACCGAGGGTTGCGATCCCGTTGCTGGTCCCGGTCCGGTACGGGGGCAACACTGAGGGTTGCGATCCGTTGCCGGACACGGAAAAATGACAAAAGACAAAAAAAAAAAAAAAAAAAAAATCACCTGCATGAACACAAAATTGAAGAGTATGTGAAGTGCTGTGAGGAACCACAACAGATTCTGGGGTGGTAAAGAAAGTTCTAGGGGTTTCTCTGAGGAGGTAACATTGAAGGCTGAATAAGACTAAGCCAGGTGAAGAATGGGATGGGAATATTTTAGGCAGAGAAAACAGCAGGTGACAAGGCCCTGAGGTAGGAAAATTTGGTGAGTTACATGTAGCAAGAGAAGGACAGTATTAAGCAATTGGCCAGACAAATATTTATTGAGTGCCTACTAAGTGCTTGGTACTGTACTTGGTTTAGAGACTCAGCAGTGAACAAGATAGAGTATCTGCCTTTATGGAGCTTTATACTTGGGGAGAGGAGGAGACAGACAATAAATATGTAAACAAATGAATAAGAATTAAGAAGAAGAGGAATAAATATGAGAAATAAAGCTGGAGGTATGAGCTCTATATTAGACAGGGCTCAGGAAAGGCCTCTGAGGAGGTGGCATTTGAACAGTGGCCCTGGTAACAAGATGATGTCCAATGAATATTGGAGTTCAGATGTCAGAATTGGGATAGCAAGGACTAGGAAAGAGCCCCTGGGAATCAGAGTCTGAATGTCACTGGAGTTTCTTTCTGATCTTGGTCTTTTGACTCTTGACCTCTTTCCTGACCTCTTACCCCATGTCCTGTCTCCATGACCTCTGACCTTTAAGTTTCCTTACCATCATCTCCTGGGCTACCTCTGGTCTTCTAGAGCTGTCTGATACTATAGCCGCTAGCCACGTGCAGCTATCTAATTTAAAATTTGTTAAAATGAAATAAAAGTTCAGTTCCTCAGACACACTAGCCACACTAGTGCTCACTAGTCACCTGTCATGTGCTTAGTAGCCATGTGGCCAGTGGCTACTGCATTGGACAGTGCAGATGTGGAACACTTCCAACACACAGAAAGTTCTGTTGGACAACACTGCCCCCCCATCCTGACCTTTGGCCTGATGTCCCATCTCCTGATTGCTGGTCATTTTCTTTCCACCCTCCCGACCCTTTGGCCTCTTCTTTCTACAAATTCCCCATCTTCTGTGTCTTTTCCCCACCTCCCAAGACCTGGTTTCTCTTCTCTTTCTGCCATTTTGTGAGAAGTACTGAAATGTCATCATCAAGATCATGGGCTTTGTGGTTGGGACTGACCCAGGTTCAAGTTCAGGCTCCACTGCACCCCAGGTGAGTGACTTTGGGTAGGTCAATCGACTTTTCTGTGCCTCAATCTCCTCATTTGTAAAATGAGAAGAGTATTAATTGCAACTACCTCATAGGCTGTGAGGCTTCATTGAGATCACGCACACAATGTGCTAGCACAGGGTCCAGCTTGTTGTGACCCCTCAGGAAACATTAGCTGGTACAGTTAGCATCTTTCCACCTTGCTGACCCCTGACTTCCTTTCTCCCTCAGCGTGAAGCCATTCACACAGACACCGTTCTCCTTGTCACTGACTCCCCCATCTACTGACCTCCCAGGTAAGAAAGAGCATACTGTCCAGCCTCCTCTGTCTTCCCTCTCCTTGACCCTAACTGCCTTCCCTTCCATTAATCAGGGGACACATTCTTACTGAGGCCCAGCTCTGAGTCAGGGTGAGTGTGTGGCATGGAAAGATAACCATTGCAGAATTTGTAATAGTAAGAGCATGGCTTCTGAAGCCAGACACAGTGGGTTTGTGTTTTGCCACTTGCTAGCTTATGAGACATTAGGAAGCGTAATAGTCAAGATTCTTTCAGTCACAAGTGATAGAAACCCAAATCAAGATAGCTGAAGCGGGCCGGCCCGGTGGCGCACTGCTACAGTGTGCTGCTTGGGAAGCGTGGCGGCGCTCCCG